TCTCTTTATTTTAATATCGAGACTACTCTAATCTTGTACTTCTATCCTGAAAAGTGTATAAAATTTAACCAATAAGAGTCGCGTATGAGAAACCGATAAATTTAATATTTAGCGCACCATTTATGACTATTATACACAAACGGGAGGGACTCTCTAAATTAAAAAAACGGTTTTTGATTTTTCATTACTATATCTAAGAAAGAACGGCTTAAGAAGAAAATCAAAAGTGTGTCCATTGGATACTCAGATTAAGTACATTTGTCCAAACCTCTTGCTCTCAAAACTGAAAATAAATATTTAGCATCATCCAATTCTACAAAATAGGAGAGTCAATTAGTTTCTGAAAAAAGTGTCTTTAAGCTTTATTTGCCTGCTTAACGCGTTATTTGATTGTGTACTAAAAAGAGTTTCAAACAAATTTTCAAATGAAATTTCATTTTTACGTTTATACAACAGAATGGATTAAATTGCGCATTTTCAATGATAGAATTGCGCATTTAAAAAAAGAAATGACATAAAATAATGTTTGATTTTTTATTCTAAGGAAAAGGAACCGAGTTAAGTTGTCCACAACACTGCATGCTCAGTTCAACTACCTTACATAGCCGGTCACTCCCTTTAAAGGTTTAACCGGCATTTCAGAGCAAACTGTATCATCGCCAAACCATTTATTAACATTGTTATTAGCATCCTTTTTAGTATAAAAAAGCTGTTGGCGAAAAATTTAAACAACTATTATTATTACAATTATTTTAATAATTGTAGTACATACATTTTCCAATAAAACTAGCTTATATTTCCGTCAACGTACGTAGTACTTCAGGATCACCTATAGTTTAGATTAGGTTGGGTTATCCGCGGTTAGATCCGGCTGGTTTGAACAAACTACATCCTCCTTTTTAAATTTTTGGCTAGATGAAAACTTAAATTTTGATTATCGTGTTGCAAAAAAAGTCCCTTCCAATCATGTGAATCCAAATTTTCTCACTGTTTACTGCAGTATATACATGCAAAAATTGTTTCTAATTTCTGCAAAATAGATGCATTTAACTAATTTGCCATGTGCACAATGCACACGTACGCCTCACACTCTCTCACTCTTTTCTTCAAGTTAAAACATCAAAGGTTTACTCCATCAGGTTGGAACGACATAGAAATTAGAAAATATTAGTTTGTTGCAAAAAGTCAAAGATAGACTTTGAATATTTAAACTTTATTATTTAGCTGCCCAATGTAAATTTATATTCCATGAACTTCATATCAAACTAAAGTTAATTACAAATAAGATTAATACTTATTTTCGATGAGAAGATTAATTTTTATTTTCTCAACATGTTCCTATACATGACGTCTGTAGTTTATTGTAGAACTTTTTTTACATTTTATGCCGTCGTTATTTAATAATTTAAAAAAAACTAATTCTGAAAACGTATCCAACCCCAAAGTAGGAGTTTTGAACGTCGAATTCATGCTCAAACTCAGGAGTTACAGATCTTTGAAAAGTTTAATATGTCTCAAGTAAATCCGAAAGAAGTTTTCCACAACACTGCATACTCAGTTCATCTACCTTACATAGCCGGTCACTCCCTTTAAGTTTTGTTATTCTTAATTGCTCTTTAACAAGAGGAGTTATGATTGGAAACGTTTAATATTTTAAGTAATCTTGTTTAATTATTAGTTTCTATTTTCTCATTATGTTACAAAGATTTTCGCAGATTTTCTAAAGTTATTATTGAAAAGATGACATTTGAAGAATTCGAAGAAATCTGCGAATAAATTCAAAGAAGATAAGAAATTCAATATAATAATGAAAACAAAATAATCGATTTTAGTATTGATTTATTGACAAATTTCTTATGAGATTACTGTATAATTTTGACTATAATTTTCGTTGTCGTTATTTAATAATTTAAAAAAAACCAATTCTGAAAACGTATCCACCCCCAAAGTAGGAGTTTTATACGTCAAATTTGCGGTAAAACTCAGGATTTACAGATTTTTAAAAAGTTTAATATGTCTCAAATAAATCCGAAAGAAGTTTTTCCACAACACTGCATATTTAGTTCAACTACCTTACATAGCCGGTCACTCCCTTTAAAATTAAACTTGAGACGTGCTTCAAGGTTGGGAAGGTTAATTTCCAATGCCGGTTTTTCAATCAAATTTGATTGTCTCCTTCTATCTAACTGAGTGACTTTTTACAAATTATTTCGTATAAAACTAATATAATTTTTTATTGTAGAAATGCATAAATAATTAATCATTCCATGAAAATTTTCGAAATTAAAATAAATGAAAAGCATAAATAATAAAAACTTTCCATGAACTGTTTTGATTCTCACTGCACAAAATTAAATTGGATTTTTTCAGTCCATTTTAGTTTCCATGGTGAAACTTTCCTGTGTAAAATTCTGTTTAATTTTTATTTAATTTTTGCGTGATTTTTTCATGTCTTTTATTATTCATAAAAGAAAGCAATTCAAATTTTGCGCAATTGCAACTGCAGAAAAGTAGATACTCCATCATTTTTCATTGAGTAAGCTTTTTTTCTTAGTAACATTTTTAAATGTCCTCTATATTATAAAGATCTTTGCTTGTATCTGTGCACATATATATATATATAGTAATCTCTGTTTGTCTGTTTTTTTGTTTTTATGTTCGATCATAACCTCTTGACAGATTTGTAAATCCGCGAAAATTTAGAGTTGAAATCTGCAGTAAAATGTTATCGAATTGTTATGACTTTAAAAAATGCAAACAAATGGCTGGCATTTTTTGTCTCTAGCATCAATTTAAAAGGAGGAATTAGCAAAATGCAGATAGATTATTTCGTGAGAGCTTGCAACCTTTAAATCACTATAACCAGGGAGCTAGAAATAGTTTGCAGATTGAAAAAAAAACATTAACATTTAAAAGAAAAAAGCTAGAAGACAACAGAATTTTAATGTTTTCCGATTCTCACTAAATGAGAATAAAGACTTGTTTTATATTTTATATAATTAGCAGACCTTTTTATAAACGTTTTTCTATATTTAATGTTTTCATTTTATACAATTATTTTAGAAACATTCACGCATTCTACAAATAATTATAATTTATTTACATTCCAGCCTAGGAACCTAGCTCGCTTTGCTTGGAAACAAAGCTTTCTTTTTAAGAGTCAACCTAATTAACTAAAGCTAAGAAAATTCCCGTGATTCTATAGAGTTCCCCAATCAAAATTTGAGGTAAATCGGTTAAGGGGTTTCTGAGTTATGATCAGACAAAAAATCAAATAAAAAGAGATTACTACTTTACATGTGTACATAGATATATTGGACTAGCTTGGTAACCCAGCTTTGCATGAAGTTTACGCTGTAACCTCTTTTTAAGTAAGAATTATTAAACCAAGCTAAGAATATTCCCGTCGTCGAGTTCTACTGCATGCACTCTGATTTAAAGGTCTCAAGCCAAAATTGATGAGAATTATGCTAAATACTTCTTACAAGCCAAAGCTAACAACATGTGCTTTATACTGCTAAAATGTACATGTACAGAAAGGCATAAGTGAGTTTAAACGGCCAAATCTAGCCCAAGGCGTTGGGACACTGCAATGTCAACCCTGTCTTAAAAAATGATTAGACTTTTTATAAGCAGACTGAATCTATGTAACCGAACATATCGATCCAGGGGTTCATGAGTTATGATTGGACATCCAAATATTACTACTTTATAGATTATTCCTAATGACAGTATTGCTTTTCTTCCTAATCCCGCCTTATTCACTTACATTTTTAAATTCCCCTTTACAGTCCCCATAGACTTATTTATTCCCCGGCTGACAACTTTATTGTCCCGGCTAACAACTTTTTCCGGTTAACAACTTTATTAGTCCCAGCCAACAACTGTATTGTCCCAGCTTACAACTTATTATCCCGGCTGACAACTTTATTGTCCCGGCTAACAACTTTATTGTCCCGGCTAACAACTGTATTGTCCCAGCTTACCACATAATATCCCGGATGACAACTTTTTTTGTCCTGACTACACTTTGAACATAATTTATGATTCATGGTCGATGAGAGAAGAAAATTGTTGAGTTCGATATTTTCAGCATACATGCACTGACAACCATGAGATGTGCCTGGGTTTCCAACGATAAAGGTAAATTGCTTCACAAAAATTTCGCAAAACAATATTTTGAGCTTAAAATTTCACATTTTTTGCATTTTTTTCGCTCGAGAAAAATCCGAAACTTATCAGCGAAAAAAGTTTTGCGTAAAAGTAAATGCGAAGTTATGCAGAGCTTCCTTTTTTATTATTAAATAATTTACAATCAAAGAAACATGAATTAAATAAAAATAAAGAAAAACATTAGAAAAAATAATTTCAGCACACATTAGCACACAAGAAACATTTTAGTCTTGTATAATACTCTATGCAAAGTAATTAAAATAATTATGTTAGAACAAAATTAAAATAACACAAAAAAAAATAAGTTGCTTTACAAAAACAAAAAAAAATCTGAGTTATGCTATAAAATTAGTCAAGATTGCATGAATCTAAAATGAGGTATAGGTTAAAAGATAAATATTTCAAATCTGTCCAACAAACTTAATCAAATAATTACTTTTTGATTCTATCTATAATTTTATGTTATTGTATCTGTTTTACATCTGTTTCTTAAAAAATGAATTTTGGCTCTCAGCTCAGTTGGATCCACAAAAATTTTAACATCTGTATTCTTTACAAGTTTACTTATTCTGTGCTAGGACAAATTTTGATTCCAACAGAAGAAATTCCCAATACTTTGATATCGAAAGGTTGAACATTTTTTTATACCTCTTTCTTCTACCAGAGTCAAAGGAATTGAGTATTTGGAACAAAATCAAATATTTAAACCCCAATATCTTTAGGACTCGATGGTGTAAACCTTTGATATTTCAATTTCAAATTCAAATTATTTGATTTAACAGAATTCATAGTTTGAATTATCTAAGGTCTACAATATTTGGTTTCAAAGATATAGTGATTATAAAATCAGAGTTTGTGGCAAAACTCAATTCCTTTCAAGAATACAATTTAAAATTTAAATACTGATATTAACCGGCCTCAAAGCTTGATGAGTTAACCGATGAAATTGTCGCTGCTGCGGAGAGAATTGATGAGTTGGTCGGGCAAACTTGGTAAGAGGGAGGAGAGCAGAGTAGCATGGAGGGAAGAGGAGGAGGAGGGGGAGGAGAGAAGGTTGGAAGGATTAAGGCCAGCTGAAGTCAGGAAGGAGGATGGATTAGATTGAAGAGCTCTATCTGTAAGAAGAGGAAGGAGAAGGGAGGCTGGAGAGTGTACAGGTACAGATTGACCGGCCAGGGTTCTACTCAGAGCAAGGTGGAGAAGAATAGGGTTGGATTCAACTAAGGAGTTTAAATCTCCAGCTTTTACTGGTAGTAGGGCTCGGGAAAGTAGAATATTACTTAGTAGAGTCTCAGGTAGAGATCTAGAGGGGAGCTGAGGGTAGGCAGAGGTATAGTAGGGGTAGGGTAGAGAAGGAAGAAATGAAGGGTAAGGTTGAGGATATTGTTGATGTTGATGATACTGATGATGAACTTGATGAACTTGATGCTGAGGAAGTTCTACAGGAATAGGGAGAAGAACAGAGTTACTAATTTCAGTATTTTCTTCAGCCTCCTCTGGGTAGGAGGTTGAAGGACTTTGGTAGGAGGAGGAGGAGGTGGAAGAGGAAGGATGTTGGTTAGAAGAGAGGAAGGAGGGGGGATGTGAGGAGAAGGAAGGAGATTGTGAGGAGAAGGAAGGAGATTGCGAGGGGAAGGCAGAGTGGTGTGCTGAGTATAGATTGGTGTTGTCAGGAAGATGGCTGAACGACAACTAAAGTTATAATAAATAAGTTTAAATAAATAAGTTTAAGTAAATAAGTTTAAATATCTAAATAAGTTTAAATATCTAAATAAGTTTAAATATCTAAATAGATTTAAGTAAATAAATTAAAAAAAATAAGTTTAGATAAATAAGTTTAAAATTAATTATTTACAACTACTTTAGAGGGAAGTTAAGGGAAATAACTTTATCAAGGGTTCCCAGGGCCCAATTTAAATTTGCCTACAAATAATCCAAAGCACGGCATGTGATGCTTTGTGGGCAAAGGTGGTCGAGGGAGCCCTTGGTCGAGTACAATTTTTTATTTTCCGAAATAGTAGTTGTACAAAATTTTAACGTCTTTTGAGATAAAAATATGCCAAATTTTTCACGAAACCTTTCCAGCGTGGGTCCTTATTTTACTTAATGGTCCTAAGGGACGTAAAGTAACTTAACGGCCCTCTGTTGGGGGAATTATAGGTCGATAATGTTGGTTAAAATTACCTGTGGCGAGGATTGAAAGTGCTGAGAGGATCCTCTTCCTCCAACTCTCAGATTATTTAACTGTGTTTCTAAATCCCTAAAACATATATATATATTTATATTATCATTTTATTATTATTAATTATAAAAATTCAAGATAAAGGTGTGAATAACAGTTCTTGAAAATAATTTTAAGAATCAATAATTTAAAATACAGCACTTTAAAACATTTTATAAATTTTTGGATTCAATGATCGGTTAAAATGCGATTCTACAAAAATCCAAATTTTTTTCGGAAATATGGGAAAAAGTGTGCAAAAACTTAAATTACGCAAAATATGACAATTCAAGCATATTTGAAAAGCCCTTTTTTCAAAGATGGAAGTTTGCAAATTCAGATTAATGGCATGAAGGCAAAAGAAAGCACACAATTTCCTTGCAAAACGTGAGCAATCTGCTTCTATTCGTAAAGGCTTTCCAAATAGCTCTAGACGACGACCTTTTAGGACTTTTCAAGAAATCCATCGCTGTTTTGTCTTCTTCCACGTGTTCAGGGGCTTCCATCTTTACTCCAGTAGACAGACATAGAACAATCTAGAATATTCAGCTGATAAGATTAATAAACATCGTCTTCTCTCTATTACAGCTAAAATGCACAAAAAATAGCAAATACTTCTTTAAAACTAAAAGTAGATGCTCTAAAATCTTTCTATCTAAAACTTTTAAAAAATGAAAAATGAAACTTTAACCCTTTTTCAAATACTTTTCACCAAAAAAATATCATCTATTTCCCTCAAATAACCAAATTAACCAAATTAAAGCTATATAAATCTTAAGCTTTGCAAAAATCTGTTATGAAGATCAAATTGAATTTTAGGAATTGATGTTGGGAGGAGGATGGGTTAAAATATATTTCGATTAGTTTTTTTCATAACATACGACCTCAGGATTTAAAGTTTAAAGATTTGGTTTTCTATGAACTCTTTCATGTGACAAATAAACTTTAAATCTCTAATCCTAATCTCTACCTTGGAACTTGATGGCATATACCTTTTTTTTACTTACAAACTATATTCTTCAGCTAGATTAAGTTGAAATATATAAAGATTACACCATCAGGTTGTGAAGATATATATTTACTAGTGAATTCTTTCTTTACGACGGGCCACGGTCCTAGCAATCCCATGAACAACCCAAGAAAAAATCTTTTATAAAATGTACTTTAAGATAAATCTGCATTAAAGATTTACTATGCTTGCACTCTTTGACCTTATTTTTAACCCATTCATAAATCCTTTTTTATCGACAATATGTTATATTGAAATTCTTTCTTCACATGTTATATCACCCCATTTCGCAAGTTCTATCCGCCCCCCCTCCCCCCCTCATCCGAATTCTCTCCTTTGATATATAGTGTATCCCCTGTATAATGTTAGTATAAAACTGTTTATGTATCCAGGCCTACCCTGTTTATCTTACTCTGCACACCTACATCAAACATTCTCAAATTTTAAATAAAATCTGTTAAATTTTTGTTTAAAAAATTTGGGCGCTTCTTGTCAATCTTAGATGAGTTTTACTGAAAATCCATAGATTTAAAAAAACCGTCACTGAGAAAAAATCTCAATAATGTCACTTTAATGAAAAAGCTGACTGTCTTTTGTTGCAGAATATTGTGTAAACGACATAGTTTAATTAATAATTATCTATCTTTAATTACCAAACTTTATATCAAGGCAAATAAAACTATTTTAATAGTATAATCTACTTACATATAAGTAAAAGAGACCCTTCATTTTAAAAACTGTGAACAAATTATTTCTTGTTTTTATAAATCTATAAATTGACTTGTCTATGTGTAAACCTGAACTGATTGTTTTAGAAGATTGCAGTTTAGTTTTTATATATTTTGTATTANACAAATTATTAATTTCCTATTTCCGGAATTTATTGACAAATTATTAATTTCCTATTTCCGGAATTTATTGACAAATTATTAATTTCCTATTTCCGGAATTTATTGACAAATTATTAATTTCCTATTTCCGGAATTTATTGACAAATTATTAATTTCCTATTTCCGGAATTTATTGACAAATTATTAATTTCCTATTTCCGGAATTTATTGACAAATTATTAATTTCCTATTTCCGGAATTTATTGACAAATTATTAATTTCCTATTTCCGGAATTTATTGACAAATTATTAATTTCCTATTTCCGGAATTTATTGACAAATTATTAATTTCCTATTTCCGGAATTTATTGACAAATTATTAATTTCCTATTTCCGGAATTTATTGACAAATTATTAATTAACAATTTTTAAAGATGCAATGATATGTAACCAATATTTGTTCCAGTGTTTTGCAAATAATTTTTAAAATATATTTCTAGTCCTTAGACCAGAAAATAATTTTAATTAATTAACTAGAGATGAAAATTTGTGAATGAAAATTATTTAGCAGAACTAGACACCGGGTTTAGCTAAGAAGGTTCATGTATTAATCTAAAAAAAAGCTGATAGGTTAAAACCAAATTTTTCACATTTATTAATCTAATAATTTCATATTTGTTCGTGAAAACCAAAATTTTTTAATCGGAAAGGATTTGAGCCTTTGCTACAACTCTGGTTTTCTTATCCTTATTATTTCTGCAACCCAATGCCGTCGATCTTTGATATTTCAAACAATGAGTTCTGTCGAATCAAATATTCTAAATTTTAAAAATAAAAGGTTTATACGATCAAGTTGCGACTTTTCACTGTCTTCAGATTTCTGCAAAATTATTTCAAATGATCATATTTCACAAGGATGTAAGGCAAGGAAAGTCATTTCAGAAGTGTACACATCTTTAGTACTGCAGTGTACTGTCTCTGGGCGCTAATGTAAACACAAGACGGATGTCGAAGCCTGACATGGGATCCATCATTCACATAAAAAATCAATGAAATATTCTGGTCATAGGAAATTATTATGTGAATTATCAAAATTATCAAAATTTAATGCTTTTAACCTCCTCGGATACTAAACGAACACTGATGCATCTATTATTGTTTACAAATTCCGCCCAAAGAGAACTGGTTTCAATATGTACACAGAGTATACACGACCGCAATTGACTTTCCTTGCCTTACATTCTTGATATTTCATTTTTTATGTTATGATTAACAACCTTATGTTTTCTTATTCATTAGGCTTTGATTATTTACGTTTGAAAACAAAATGAAATATCAATTATGAGTAAAGGTAAAAAAAACAGGAATTTAGATGAAAACCTCTCAATATCTGAAAACATTGTTCCAGCTTAAAAATTTCGAATCTAAGACCAAAAAAACATTTTCCGAATATCGTCAAAAATGGCCTAAAAATCTCGTTTTTATCGTCGGCAGCAGCTTTGATGGTCCAAAAAATCGAAATATTTCAGATTGGCGTTAGTTTTCTATATATATATCTTCTCAAAAGTTCCTGTTCACCATCATATACCCATCTTAGATCCCTTCAGTCCTCTACTACCTGTTCACCATCATGTACACATCATAGATCCCTTCAGCCCTTTACTTCCTGTTCACAACATCATGTATACCCATCTTAGATCCCTTCAGTCCTTTCCACCCTGTACACCATCATGTACCCATGTAGTACCCATCATAGATCCCTTCAGCCCTCTACTAACTGTTTATCATCATGTACCCATCATAGATCCCAATCAGTCCTTTACTAACTGTTCACCATCATGTACACATCATAGATCCCTTCAGTCCTCTACTACCTGTTCACCATCATATACCCATCTTAGATCCCTTCAGTCCTTTCCCTTTACTACCTGTTCATCATCATGTACCCATCTTAGATCCCTTCAGTCCTCTACTACCTGTTCACCATCATGTACCCATCTTAGATCCCTTCAGTCCTCTACTACCTGTTCATCATTATGTACCCCTCATAGACCCCTTCAGCCCTTTACTACCTGTTCACCATCATATACCCATCATAGATCCTTTCAGTCCTTTACTACCTGTTCACCATCATATACCCATCATAGATCCCTTCAGTCCTCTACTATCTGTTCATCATCATGTTCACATCATAGATCCCTTCAGTCCTCTACTATCTGTTCATCATCATGTACCTATATAGACCCCTTTAGTCCTTTACTACCTGTTCACCATCATATACCCATCTTAGATCCCTTCAGTCCTCTACTACCTGTTCACCATCATGTACACATCATAGATCCCTTCAGTCCTTTACTACCTGTTCATCATCATGTACCCATCATAGATCCCTTCAGCCCTTTACTACCTGTTCACAACATCATGTATACCCATCTTAGATCCCTTCATTCCTTTCCACCCTGTACACCATCATGTACCCATGTTGTACCCATCATAGATCCCTTCAGTCCTTTACTACCTGTTAATCATCATTTGAAAATTTGTTAGACATACTATTTGAACTTTTTTTTTTAAATCCTCCCTTTGGGTACATTGTAGCCCAACTTCCTGGACTGTTTGGTACATTGTGGACCCATTTCCTGGACTGGATACATTGTAGAGTGTAGATCCATTTCCTGGAAGCTTTTTGGTGCATTGCAGCCCAATTTCCAGGACTGTTTGGTACATAACAGCCCAATTTCTTTGACTGTTTGGTACATTGTAGACCCATTTCCTGGACTGTTTGGTACATTGTAGACCCATTTCCTGGAATGTTTCTTCCGGGAGTGGGGCAATTTACCCTTCAGAGCAGGAAGAGATTCTTCAAACCATAGTTATTTCAAGATATATTGTTCCAAACCATAGTTTTCGCAAGATATATAGTTCCAAACCAAAGTTCTCTCAAGATATATAGTTCCAAACCATAGTTCTCGCAAGATATATAGTTCCAAACCATAGTTCTCTCAAGATATATAGTTCCAAAACATACTTCTCGCAAGATCTATAGTTCCAAACCATAGTTCTTTCAAGATATATAGTTCCAAACCATAGTTCTCGCAAGATATATAGTTCCAAACCATCATTCTCACAAGATATATAGTTCCAAACCATAGTGCTCTCAAGATATAAAGTTCCAAACCATAGTTCTCTCAAGATATATTGTTCCAAACCATAGTTCTCTCAAGATATATAGTTCCAAACCATACTTCTCGCAAGATCTATAGTTCCAAACCATAGTTCTTTCAAGATTTATAGTTCTGAGCCATAGGTCTTAAAAGATATATAGTTCCAAACCATAGTTCTCACAAGAGATATAGTTCCAAACCATAGTGTTCTTAAGATATATTGTTCCAAACCATAGTTCTCTCAAGAGATATAGTTCCAAACCATAGTGTTCTCAAGATATATAGTTCTAAGCCATAGTTCTTAAAAGATGTATAGTTCCAAACCATAGTTCTCACAAGAGATATAGTTCCAAACCATAGTGTTCTCAAGATATATAGTTCTAAGCCATAGTTCTTAAAAGATCTATAGTTCCAAACCAGAGTTTTCGCAAGATATATAGTTCCAAACCATAGTTCTCACAAAATATATAGTTTTAAACCATTGTGCTCTCAAGATATATAGTTATAAACCATAGTTCTCACAAGATATATTTCCAAGCCATAGTTCTCTCAAGATATATAGTTCCAAACCATAGTTCTCACAAGATATATAGTTCCAAACCAAAGTTCTCTCAAGATATATACTTCCAAACCATAGTTCTCTCAAGATATATATTTTTAAACCATAGTTCTCTCAAGATATATAGTTCTCAACCATAGTTCTCACAAGATATATAGTTCCAAACCAGAGTTCTCTCAAGATATATATTTCTAAACCATAGTTCTCTCAAGATATATATTTCTAAACCATAGTTCTCTCAAGATATATATTTCTAAACCATAGTTCTCACAAGATATATAGTTATTTTATTTTCAAATATCAGATGTATTTAAATTTTTGTTTTAACATCATGTTATTGATAATGTTATAATGTTTGTAACTCAGTTAATGTGCACTGTATAAAAGTATTCCTATAGATACCTAGCTATATTTGTGTGTTTATGTATCTCCCTGCGATTGTGTTTACATTAAACATATACATCATATATACAATATGTACATATGTATACAAATGTATATCAATCCATTTAATCACAGCTTTTCCCCCTAACCTTAGCCACCTCATCTTCACACTTCTTTTTAAATTTTTATTTTATATGATTATATTAGTTTAGTTTTCACATTTTGAAGAACAAAGTACGTGTGATGATTCAATTTACCTTATTAAGCTGCTGTTGTAGTCTGATATTCTATTTCCTGTATCTTTGCAACCTTATAATCAAAATTCAAAATAATCTTAAAAAATCACAGGTTTAAACCATTAGGTTGCAAAGATATAGAGGTTTTAAATTGTAAACTTGTGGAAAAGACTTAATTCTTATGTGAAAACATGTGATTGTAAAAACCTATTTAATTTATGGCATAATAAAAGACTTGTAATAAAAATATTTCAACACTTTGCAAAAGCCTTAGAATGATTGAAGAGTTAACAATACCAATTAATAAAAAAAAAACACTTTTACAACAGAATAAAACTCGTAGTTTCTGAAGATTTTTTCCTTTTTCCTGTTTAAAAACTGTTTCCTGTTTTCAAACTGTTTCCTGTTTTTAGAATATTTTCTT